GGGCTCCCACCCTTTTGGAAACTCCACATCTCTCCACTTACACTTCAGCATGAGCTTGTCTCCAATAGCAAATGAATGCACATGAGACAGGTAAGGAAAGTAGGTGAGACTAACTAGGATAAAACTGACTACAGGTCTGTGGTTCACTACCCCACAGCCTCTAATGTGTCAGTCTCCCTTCTGCAGCTCAGCTGAGAGAGTCCTGGCACATGTACAATTTCCTGATATTAATTCAGGCACATAAAAACTGATCCAAAGCTCACTAAAATAAACCAGAGCCTCACATCCACTTCATCCATACTGCAATGCAAAACTCAATAATTCATATATATTTTAGGATGTGTTTTTCTTATCAGATGTAAATTCAGGATCTGTAGTATTTCTCACTTGCAATTAAACATGAATATTAGTTAAAAATCCAAATATGCTGTTATGATCCCAATGGGACAGGTAGGTGGTTGTAACCAGAAGACAGAGTGCATTTCAATGAAAAAACACACACTTTTCTTACAACCACCAAACATGTCTTGCTGAGATTCTACAAAAATCTCAGTAGAAAAAGAAGTCAAATTGAACTACGGTCTGTGAGATTTGGAGACAAATAGTGTATGCAAGAAGGAAATTATTTAATTGCCAAGGGATGTAGCTGGTTTCTTCAAATTTTTAATCTCCTCTGTAGAAAGTAAAACAGACCAGACATATATGCCTTCCACACAAATGCCACTGTCTCATGCTGTTCAGCACCTTACATTTTCCTTCTTCATCTTCCTTCTGAATAAAAACTTTCATATCATCTTCATCGCCTGTCACTGTTTAATTCGCTATCACTTTCACTAACATTGCCTACCATCAAACAGTCTGGATGACACCCTCTCTCCACTGAAATGAAATTAAAGGAACCAAACAAACAGCAAACCAAATCACCTCTACAACTAGCTTTAGCAGGACCAGAATTTGCAGTTCTAATCTCCCTAAGGTCTAGTAGTCCAGGGAACAAAAGTATAAAAAAACAGCTGGGTCTGGACATGCTGGGACTTTGCTGAAACCATAAAACAGCACGGGCAGGCTTAGCCTTCTTATCTCTTTGTCTCCTTATTTCCTCTCTTTTCTCTTGTGCTCTTTAATTCTGTATTTTCTGCCTAGGACTATTCCTATCTTATGTCAGCTGGTTGATCTCCATCCATTTTTCCTCCCCCAAATCGGAAAAAGCTTTTCCAGAAACTGCAATACTCAGCTGCCATTGACAACAGATGCTGTTTCTGCCAAGAATTAGTGTTCCCCCTTTTGTTTCATTCGCTATCTTCTTTTTATCTGCCAGGGTCTTTTTTCTTTCGCTAGTTTCCTTTCCTGTCTGGTATCCTATTCTTACATTCTTCTCCCTTCAAAACTATCCTTCTCTCATGTCTTCCCTGATTTGCACTGTCCTGTTTCCACTACTTATATCCCATTTCTCCCCTGGGGTATCTCAACTCCTTTCTTTTTCCGCATTTCCCCTCTCCCCCAGTTTTACTTCCCTCCGTGCCCTCTGCCTTCAGGTATGCAGATGTATTTGCACCTGCTCTGCCCGCAGATCCTGGGAGGGACAGACCAGCCCAAACACCCTTTGCTGGTGAGAGGAGCTGCAGGTGGTAATGCTCTGTCCTCAAACTTTTAAAAAATTGAAAATACATACCACATATTATATAAAGTACATTATATTACACAATAAAGCACAGTGATATTTTAATCAACTCAATACTCCAGTGAAGATCCGAGAGTAAAATAAATGTCTGGAATATGAACTTTTCTCTATCTAAATGCATTTTCTTCCCAGAACTACAGAAGATGATATAGCACAGAGCTACGTGTCTCTCTCAGGGACAGACAAACATAATTTAAGCCTAATGTTCAGGGTCACTCACCCCACTCCAAGCTGAAATCAACTATGATATTTCCTAGGGACACCAAAACTGACTGTGTCTCCAGAGGTTTAGCAGCAGCTTGCATGCTGAGGCCCTGCTGAGGTGAGGATCACTGAGCCAGCAGTATTTCTAACTTTGCTTAGAGTTGAGCACCTGATGAAATGTCAAATCAAACCCAAAACACTTCACACCCTGTGTGAAGCTCTTAACCTCAGAGTGCACAGCAAGGCTCACAACTCAGGAACATAATTCCTCAACTTTTAAAATTCTGATCATTTAATTGTTGCACCTTGAAAGTTAATTTTACAAAAATACATCAAGACATTGAAGCATTACCTTCTCTTAGGAAATTTCATGAAAAAGCCCTAGTCTTTCTGTAGGTAAACAGTGTTTTTCACTGCAGCACAACAGACAACTCAGGTACTTCTAGCCCCAGCATCACTTGCACTGCAGAATCTGCATTTGTGGCACAAACATTATAAATACCTTTGCTCACAGAGCACAGACTCTTGTTAGCCCAAATCTCTTTTTCCTCCAGCCCTGACCACAGGACTAACTTTATAGTTACATTTCAGAGGAAAATCAGCGTATTTTGAGCTTCCCATTACATTCATTTCTGTTAAGAAACAGAAGTAGCCCTCATGTCAATGTACTCCAAAGTGTGCATATGGATATATAACATAGGTAGTTTTTTTTAAAGTAGCTTGTTTTAAAAAAGAAAAAGGTTGTTTTTAAAAATGCAGAAAGGTTATTGGCAAATTCTAACACTGAGTGCAATTCCCATTTCTTGAACATGCAGGAAGCAGGTGGTTATAGCACTGGGCTGCTTGCATTTCTCACCAACCCTTACTGTACTGTGCAGGAGCTATCACACTGCACAAGAGGAACAGTCAATCTCTTTCTAAAGACATGTGCATCTTTGGTGAATGACCTTTCATTAAATTCCAAATTACCAAAGTCACCATTACTCACAGAAAAAAGTAATCAGAGTTTTGAAGTCTTTTTCTGTGTAATAATTTTTATGCATTTGCACATGTACTTCACTGTTAGTTACTTTTAAGATTTCCTTCTGGAAATTAGTAGCTTAAGGAACTCTTTGCAGATTTTCTTCCTTAAAATTTTACTGAATGAATGTTAACCTGTTAAAATTGCTACTTTAGAAAAACTATGAGTAACAGAGAAGACAAATCTGGAAATCTCTGTAGTCTTGAATGCTTCTTTTTTTCACTCCTTCATGTTTAAGAAGGCATTTGTACACCTAGGCAGCCTGGCAAAATCCTAAAGTGATTAAGATTCAAAGATGGGCCTTTGTGACCTTTATGAATTTCCAGGAATATCGTCCAAGACCGAAAATGAAAATAGAACAATTTCATTCTGCATTACTAAGCATTTCAACATCTCCAACACTTTAACATTTGGAGTAAGTTCTAATGCCTGCTTATAAATAAATCTGAACGGTTTTGCTCCCATTTCACTGCCTCTAAAGAACCCAATCAAGAGAAGCTAGTTACAAGACTGTTATTGGACACACAGTAAAGTTGGGAAGGTGACAGCATGTTTTCACCCACTGTGGTTAAGGATCTCTGAAATACCACTGTCTGCACAGACATGCAGACCTACTACAAATAAAAAGAGCAGCATTTGTGGTATTTGGAGTCTCCTGTAAGTCATTAAGTGCAACTAAGACTCTCATCTAGGACTACCTAAAGTGCACTCCCTTTGTGTATGCTCCTGTTTAAGGGGAAAGCAGCTCCCAGCACCAGCAGTATCAGATTCTTGCAGCATCCATGACATTTGTAAGCATTCAGTGGTCAGAACACCACTACATATCCTTCAAATGACATGGACCACTGAAGCTGGAAAGGTATCTCCACTGAACCACGCCGGCTGGTATCTCAGCAATCCACCAGGACACGAGCATCAGCTTGCCCCCGGTGGCGTGCAGAATCTTGCCTGAGGAGTTCCTGGGGTTTGCGTTTTTGAAAGTCATCACTTTTGAGTGTTGAAATGCAAAGGGTAGGCACCAACTTACAGCAGCGGCCTCTCAGAAATACTTTATGCTGCAAAATAGTTGTATTTGATGTTTTTGATTTCAGAGTGAGAATCAGTTAGACAACAAGGTGATAAGCATGACAGAACACTAACATAGTGAGCTAGCCAGAAATAATAAGAGGGCTCACCATCTCCAAAGTTAAACCATCTGAGTAGTGCCCATTACATAAAGTATAAAGAATCCTGTGCATTAATGCTAATAGAGTGTATTATTTAAAATATTTATTAATGTTTCTTTCCAGTTTCTTTCTTGTTGCTGTCAAATCATTAGTAATATGCACCCATTAGCTGAAAAGCTTATAATAAGCTGAATAATATGAAGTGTGGTTTGATTTCTGTGCTACCACACCACTGTATTATACCAACACTAGAAGACGGTATTATCTTTCCATCTGTGAACGAAGTACAAACATATTTTAAAAGAAGATAAACAAATTTTGGATATGTTTAGTCCTTGTTAAACTACGTGATGTGCACTCACTTCCTAACACCAACCTCATATTGTCAATCTTTGACATCATGATTCATTACCTTATTAAATGAAAATAACTGACATGTTGTAGATGTAAGGACTAGGAAGCCACAAGTTTCCAGGCACAAACAGGGACATCACCCCACCATCAGCAACATCAGGGTGTGCACAGATGATGCAGTTATTTATGAAAATAACAGATGTAGAACTTGGCTATTACAGTTTAAAGACCTAACTCCTTGTCAAGGAATAATATTGGGGGAGAAAAAAAAATATTAGTTATGGTCAAAAAAAAAAAACCCCCTAAACCCAGATTCCTCACGCGCGGGTGGCCAGAGGGCCGAGGGGAGGGGACGAAAAGTTTGGTGGTGCAGGGGGCGGGCGGCTCGGCCCCGCCGCCGCCCCCCTCCCGCCGCTGCGGCCGCCCCCGGCCCTGGCCCCGCGGGGTCCGAGCCCCCCGGGCCCCCGATCCCGCAGGAGGTGCGAGCCCGCCGGGACTCCCCGGTCCCGCAGAAGGTGCGAGCCCGCTCCCGCAGCCCCCGCGGGGTCCGAGCCCCCCTGCCCGCCCCGCTCACCTGCTGGCCAGGCTCTGCCGGCAGTGCTGCCTGAAGGGCATCAGGTGGTAGTTCATGGCGTCCAGCAGCAGCTTCTGGCAGACGGGGTCGGTGCGCATGAAATCCACCGACTGGACCCGCTCCACCAGCTCCGGCGCAGGGATGAGGGCGAAGCGGAGGCGCTTCATCAGGTCCGGGGCGTACTGCATGCGGGTCTCCCGGTCGTGCTCCAGCCAGAGCACGGACATCTGGAAGAGCGCCAGCTCCGACTCGACGGGGGGGGGCAGCGAGTCGAGGAGGGCGCGCATCTCCTCGAAGTTGAGCAGCAGCACGTCCTCCACCAGGTACTTGTTGGCCAGCTTCTTGGTCTCCTCCAGGCCGTGCAGGGCGGCAATCTTGCACACCTGCTTGTAGTTCTGCACCGAGATCTGGTCGTTGAGGAACTGCACGCACAGCTTGGTGACCTGCGGGATGTGCAGGATCTTGCTGACCGACAGCACCTCCTCCACCGTGTCCAGCGAGAGGGTCACGTTGGCCGTGTACAGGTACTCCAGCACCAGCCGCAGCCCGATGGACGAGCAGCCCTGCAGCACCAGGTTGTTGATGGCCCGCGGGCTGGCCAGCAGCTTGTCCTCCGGGGAGGAGGATGGGGTGCCGGGCTCCTCCTGTGTCTGCGGCGGCGGCGGCTCCTTCGGCGGCCCTCCCAGCCCGTCCTGGGCGCCGGGCCCCAGCCCCAGGGCGTGCGGGTGCCCGCCGCTCCCGCCGCCGCTGGAGAACAGGGATCGGAAGTACTGGGAGCAGGAGGCCAGCACGGCCTTGTGGCAGTGGAACTGCTGGCCCTGGGCCGTCAGGGTCACGTCGCAGAAGAGCTGCTTCCTCCACAGCAGGTTGAGGCCGTGCAGCAGGTTGTCGCTGTGGCTGGGGTCGAAGGTGGAGGTCCTGTCCCCGGATCTGGACATGGCGAGCGGCCTCCGGCACACCTGCCTTTTAAACCCTCCTCCAACCTGGGCAGAGGGGTGGGGAGGAGAGCGGGGTGGGGGACACACGGGACGACACAACAATAAACACAGAGCTTTAGAGGCCCGGAGGGCGCATCCCGGCTGTGTGCGCAAGGGTGGCGAGGGGCGCAGCCGGGGGACGGGCTCCCCTCTGCCCGCCGAGCCGAGCCGCCCCCCCGCCCGGGACACGGACGGGCTCGCTCCGAGGGGCCGCAACTTGGGAGGGCGATAGGAGATCTGGGGGTTTTTTGCCTCTCCCCTCTTCACCCCCGCCCCCGTTTTCCTCCCTCCTCGGTGCAAACCGGGCAGTTCTCCAGGGGAGGAGCAAAGAAGCCGGGGACATTTTCAAAGCTCAGCCACCGTTCCCCAGGTTCCCCCCTCCCAAACACCAAAGCAATCAAACACACCCCAAATAACACCACCCCCACCCCCCCAACTCCGCGACGCCCAGAGAAACTACCCAAGTGACTGAAACTCTGCCGGGCAGGCGGGCAGCCCTGCCCGCCCCGCTCGCTGCCAGCCCCCGCTCCCCTCCGGCCGCTTTGGCAACTCGGCGGCGCCAGGACCCGCTTCCCCCGGGGGCGGCGTGCCCGGAGCAGGGGCTCCGGCACCGAAGTTGGGCCGCACTGCTCGGCCCAGCGGGGCTGCGATACTCGGCACCCCGGAGCGGGCACGGGGGATGGAAGCGGCAGCCCCGGGCCCGGCGAGGGGCCGCCCGGCGCTGTCCTGCCCGGCTCGCTTCTCCTCGCAGCGACGGCGCCGCGGCCGTAACTCCGGTAACTACGTGAAGTTCAAGTTGGGGGAAGGACGGGGGAGGCGGGAGCGGGCGGAGGGGAGCGGGGCCGTGCCCGGCAGCCCCCGGTCCGGCCGGACCCGCCGCCCCCCAGCCCCGGCCCCGAGGGGAGAGGGGTGGGCGAGGCTGCCCCGAGCCGCGGCCGCACCTGCGGAGGCTGCGCAGCCACCGACCCGCGCTGACCGCATCCCGCCCCGCGGAGCGCCGCCGCCGCTCTTCCTCCTCCTCCTCCTCAGCGGGATCCCGCCGAGACCTGCTCCGGCCATTGCAGCGCGCTCAGTCGCTTCTCGCCAGTACTGGGCTTCCTGTGCCTCCCTTCACCCCCGCCTCGCCCCATTTATCGGCACAGCGAGGGGCTCCCTCCAGCCGCTTCCCCTGCCCCGGCGCCGCTCAGCCCCGCTCCGCGCCCCGCCGCCGGCTACAGAAACCTTCCGGAGCCTCTCCCTTTAAGTGGACCCGGTCAATCCCCCCCTCCCCACCACACACACACACACACGCATACATACATGCACACACATACACAGACACACACACTCCTCCTCTTCTCCCTCCCCTTCTTTCTTTCTCGTTTTGCCCATTTCTTGCAATCGGAGTTTATTCCGCAAACGCGTTCGTTACACAACTGCCCCCCCACCCCGCACACACAGACACCCCTTTCCTCTCCCCCAGCAACAAACAAATCAGGAGGCACTAGCAAATGCACGGAGACGGATAGACACAAGGCCAGAAACTTACCTGCTCCACAACCAGCTGCCAAAGTAAAGGTTCACTTAAGCTCCCCCCCAAAAAAATCAATTGTCCTTCCTTTTTAAAGGTTTGCTCGCTCCTTCCAAAAAAAAAAAAAAAAAAAAAAAAAAGGAGAGAAGAAAAAGAAAGAAAGAAAGAAAGAAAAAAAAACCTTCTGGTTCCCAACTCGGAGCAGTCACTCTTTACAATTTATTTTGTCGTACATCATTTGATCACCATGAATTAGCAACAGCAAGAAAATGTACGAGAGAGAGAGAAGGAGAGAGAGAAAGAGAGAGAGAGAGCGCAGAGCTTTCTGCAAGAGAAGAAGAAGAAAAAATGTACGTGTGACAAATTATGCTACCAAGAAACAACACATCATTATCCTTGGGCCTGGGGCTCAGTGAGTCGTAACGAGAGTAATAGGAAATCCACGGTTGGGGAGAGAAACGGTCGTGCATGGCCAGTGGAGAGAGACCATACAGGGGGATGGATGCTGGAGAGACTCGCAAAATTATGGCTCAAGGCTATTGTAAAAATTGTCGAGCGTAAATGACTGCGATTTCAAACATCTTTGGAAGAAAGAAGGGGAAAAAGCGAGCCCCCCCCCCCCCCCCCCCCGCCTCCCTCCCTCTCGCTCTCCCTCTCTCTTCTCTCTCTCTATAAAGAACCGTCAAGTTTTAGTGCGCATTGCTAATTAGTCAATTTCTCTCTGCCTTCACAGGCTGGCGACTTTGCTGCTGAGCTGAAACTGCTAATTTCTGTGACCAGCTTTTTTCTTAGCTGTGATCTGGATGAATGAGTAGCTGTCTCACAGAGATGACAAAAATAAACTCTAATCCCCCCAAAAATTTCCACTACATCTTTCTCATGCATAGATTTATGATCTTCAAGGGCCCTGTGCAATATGCAAACTTTTGTGTGTATGTGTTGCTGGGGGGGGGATGGACGGGGAGGGGGGAGTAAGTCTTGTATTCAGGTTGCACAGTATTTGTTTTGTATTTCTGCTCTCCCCCCACACCCCAGGAGTGATGAAAATAATGTCTGGTTTCAGTAGCCAATACACTGTCACCCCCCATCCCCTTGTATTCGTATTATTGCTTTGACAGGATACATCCTCCTTCCTGGCAAGTGTGATGAGGCTGGAGGGGTGGAAGGGAGAGAAAGTGAGGCTACTAAATGGTGTTAGTGGTAAAACGTTCCTTTTACATTTGTTCCCCTGCACTGTTCAAGATTTATGATCTTGTTTGAAGGCATATTTTCTCTATCGTTTTTTCTGGTTAGACAACCGTCTCTGAACTTCACTGTCAGCTCTTCAACAGATAAGGGTTCAGAAGTCACATTTTTTTATTGGAAGATTAGCATATTGTCAGATTTGTCTTTCGGTTTCGAGACTTTGCAAAGCAGAAGCCTGAACCAAATGGCAGGAAAGCAGCTGCTATTTCACAAACATAACCTTTCAACTTTCTGCCAGAGCTGATACCCTAGAAACGTGCATAGCGCAGCCCGTGGGCTGGGGCTTTGTTTTGGGTTTTGCTCCTTTATAGCTGTGAGAGGCAGAGGGAATTCTTATTCTAGGCATTTTGGGCTTTTTCTTTCCACCAAAGGACATTTTGGTCGAGGGCATGTTCTCCCCACTTTATCTCATGATATATTGTACCCTCACATTTATAGCTCCGTTCTTCTGTTGTCAAACCTCCAATTGTAGGAAAAAAAAAAGTGGAATGTATGCCCTTGAATGAAATGCACATGAAAGGAGACTGGAACAAGCACTCACAGAAAGTTTTACCTGGTGTGAAAGCCTCAAGCCCCATCCCCTTTCACAGATGATGCTCAGGCTCCCATTAATTAAAACACACACCAGGAGTGGGACTTCGAATGCCAGGTCTCATGGTCTTTCTCTTTGACTTGGCCAAGGATGCCAATGCATTTACAGAGCTGGAGTCAGATTGCTCAGGAATGCAAAGGACTGGAACTGAAAGGCATCAAGGCAATTTTTGCTTTTATTTATTTTCTGGTGACCTTAATAAAGAAGTTCTGCCATACCTCTCTCTTTTTCCTTGCCAGATAGATCTCTTCCCCCTCCCTTGGATATCAATTATTTCTGCAAGAAATTTCCAAGAGAGGTAAGGCAGTTGGTGTTGTGGGGCATGGTATTCTTCCCAAAATGACACCATCCTATGCAGTTTGTAAAACCATGTTCTTTGATTTGCTCTAGTTGTGGCTTCCTCCCTGCTGTATCCTGTTGGCCACACAGATTTTGATCCTGTTGAAGTGAAGAGAAATGTTAATTACAAGATGCCTCCATTTTGATTGTAGCTGGTGTCTTCAGTGATGTGAGTTGTCTCACAACTGTAGTAGATGGGAAGAATGATTTTTATATCACGCTTTTTATGCTGAACTTTGCTGCCATAATGGCTGTAAATAAACCCCATGGGTTTTTTTATCACTTTGCACTGTCTGATGTGTCACACACACACCGCTGTAAGCTGTGTAATACATCTTAGTAGCAAGTTTCTTGGACTGGCATTCTGGTATGTTTTGCTCTTTAGTGAAAAGACCTGGTTAATTTTTATTTAACTTTGCTACACTAACTTGGGTTGAAATAAAGTTCAGTCTTAACTTACATGTATGATTTGTGGTGACTTATGAATTACATTGGAGAAATATTTCCAAAAGTTCTGGGTATGGTATTTTCTAAACAGTCTTAAATATTTTGAAGGGAAATTTCAAAGTTTCTAAGTTGGGTGCCTGATTTCAAAGTGGAAAATTGAAGTTCATCTCTTAGAGATGGCAGTTGTTGACAGAATGTGCTTGCTTTCTTCTGTTACTCCTAGGCCTGCACCATGTAAAAATTATCTATTTTTTCTCTTTGGAGCAAAAGTAGATGTACCTGACACTTGGTTTAAGCAGGGACTTCACATCTCTAATTTATATATCTAAAACAGTCACAGACTTCAGGGGAACCACTGGGAGCAAAGACCCTCTCCCCTGAGGCACTAAATACATAAGAACCCTGAAGCCTTCTCTATCATAGCTATATGCATCTGTTCCTAAACTGGATTTCCAAAGAACAGTGGGCAGTGACCCATGCTTTCATCTTTTCAAAGCCAGAGGTTTGGGGATGTTGTGCTTTTAGTCATCATACTTTTCCTCAGCTCTTCCCATCCCTGCAGATTCCTCAGTTTACCAAAGTCTGGTTTCAGAGGCTCGTGATAGGGAGGTCAATACTAAAAGATCCAAATCACATCTTGCCATTAAAGGAAGAGGTCCTGGTGCAGAAGAAGCTTTTATGAAGACAGGATAATAGTAGTTGAAATCCTAGACAACAAACTCAGTAAATATACAAGAAAAATACATTTCAGTAAGATTAATTTTATAAAAAAAAGGAAATTTTGAATGCTTTTATTGTCTCTTCTTGTAATAAAAAATATATCTTTGC